GAGATGGGGGCAGGTGTGGGGAGGTGTGGGGGGAGATGGACCGGAGGTTGTGCGCGAGATTGCTCGGAGATTGCTTAGGCGCCGGGCGACGACAAGACGACCGAGCTGCTCGGGTACGCCATGATCGCCCTGTACATCGGCGCCGACTCCTTCTTCATTAATTATCAATTAATTAATTACTTAGGTACGCGATGATCGCCCTGTACATCGGCGCCGACTCCTTCACGTCGCAGTGGCAGACAAAGGTGTACAAGGCGCGGGCAGCCGTACAACCAGCCCCGACAGCGGCAGTCCTCACAGCAGCAGGGATGAGAGAGGCCTCCTCCAACAGACCGCACCAGGGCCCGCACTACCAAGCCCCAACGAAGAAACCAGCAGGCAAGATAAGAATGAGGATGCGAATGAGACTCCTCCCAGGCGCACCCGGGCGTGGACCAGTTCCAGATGATGTTTGGAGTGAACACCTGGTCCATCCTCTTCACGCTTGCAGCGCTGCTCGCCTCCGGTGAGAGATAGTCGGGAGGCCGCAGAGAGGGGGAGAGATAGCCGGGAGGCCGCAGAGAGGGAGAGAGATAGCCGGGAGGCCGCAGAGAGGGAGAGAGATAGCCGAGAGGCCGCAGAGAGGGAGAGAGATAGCCGAGAGGCCGCAGAGAGGGAGAGAGATAGCCGGGAGGCCGCAGAGAGGGAGAGAGATAGCCGGGAGGCCGCAGAGAGGGAGAGAGATAGCCGGGAGGCCGCAGAGAGGGAGAGAGATAGCCGAGAGGCAGCCGAGAGGCAGCCGGGAGGCAGCCGAGAGGCAGCCGAGTGCAGCCGAGACGCAGCCGAGAGGCAGCTAGCCGCGGGTGGCTGGCCCTCGAAGCTGGTCGGTGGCCACCAGTCAAGAAAGAGCTACTCTCACTAATTAACATCAGGCGGGCTGTGGGCCATGATTAATTAATCAATTAATGAATTACCAGGCGAGCTGTGGACCACGATCGCCTTTCTGAAGCTCAACCCTGCCGCCTTTATGGACAACGTCACCATCGCCATCACCTCCGCCACCGGCCAGCTCTTCATCTTTTACACAATCAAGCGCTTCGGCCCCTGTTAATTAATCAATTAATTAATTAACAGGCCAGCTCTTCATCTTTTACACAATCAAGCGCTTCGGCCCCGTCGCCTTCACGATCATCATGACCACGCGCCAGATCTTCTCCATGGCGCGCCCGCTGGCTGCCCCGCCCGACTACCCTCTGGTCCCCGCCCCTCCACACCACGCCCCACCACCCACCCGCACCACCACCCTTCCGCCCACAAGTTGGAAGCACCCACGCCCCGCACCCGCACCGCGCCCCGCACCCCAGGTCATCTCAAACTTCGCATTTGGCCACTCGCTGGGCATCAGCGGGTGGGCCGCCGCCAGCGTCGTCTTTGCGACGCTCTTCTACCGCGTCTACAGGTCCCAATTAATGATTAATGTAGAGAAGTAGTCATGATTTAACAATAGCTCTTCTGCCGCGTCTACAGGCCTTGAACGGTAGATGCCACCAACGCCCATGAATCACTGTTGGTGAAGGTCGTGTGAGCTGACCCCCCCCCCCTCCCCCTCCCCCTTCCCCGCCTACAGAAGCGCAAAGTCGCGGAAAGGCTGAGCCCGGCTCGGCCGAGTGGCGCGGCCCCCTTCTATGCCGCGCCCGCTGCGCGAGGAGGAGCGAAGGGGGGGGAGGGCTCTGTGTGTGCTGTCGGAGTGGAGTGTCGGTCAGGGACGCTCTCTCATGCCGTGTCTCGATGCCGTGTCCGAAGCACACCTGAGGATCGGTCGCGTCGAGCCGGCCGTGACTGCTCCTCACGCTCGTGGGGAGTGGGTCGCTGGAGTCGCCGGTCTCGCTCGCAAACTGCGGGCTCCGAGTGGCACTGTCAGTGGGCAGTATCTCTCCAGAAGCCCCGCGCTCGCGCTTCCCGCCGGGGTCTCGTTGTGGCTTGTGCGTCGCGCGGGTCTTGCACCACTCACGCGTCTCTTACCGTTTTTTGATCTGCGCACCGCCGGTAAAAATAGCGCCGGAGGACTCCCTATTAGCCATTTTGCTTTTTGGCAAGGCATGCTGGCAGCCACTGACTCACGCCGGTGCCGGAACTCGGCCGTCCATCAACTTTTCGCTGCATCATGGTGGACCTCGCAAGGCTGGCT